TCCTAATGTTCCCATATCCACAGAACTTCACGAACCACTTGGTCGAATCAAGTTCGGCTGAGTCAATTTGTGAATTTTCTACTTAGGTCTATATTAAAGTGTTGACTTTAGTATCTGGACTCAATGTAGGTGTCTAGAGGTGTTGACCTCGCCTCATTTTGAGATTCGTGATTTTAAACTGTTGCTGCAACCAGGTGGGTACATTTATGATGTATTCCCTATTTATCGCACTTACTATTTCGTGTAATGTTCTTTTGAAAATTATTGTATGCATGAGAACTCTAGTCTAAGTGTCTCGAACAATAGTGCCTTTGATGAATGCGAAAGCAGTAGGAGGTCGCCTGCCCGTTGTATCCGGGAGGGACGCCCCGTTGTACCCGGAAGGGGAAAAACATCTCTACTGTCTCCTGGAAAGGATCCTGCAAACCGTTGTACCCGGGGGTGGGAAGGTTTCCAGTTACAGCCATGTCGTTGTATCCGGATGGTTGTTGTATGTACATAGGAGGTTTGCGATAGGGCCAAGTAGGGAGTTAGACTGTTGGATTCTATGCATACTGAATATTGTGTTATTGTTTTAAAATGTTATGCGGGATAAACTGTGCGATAATGGTGAGCTTGCTGGTTATGCTCACCCCCATTATTTTTCTTTGTTGTGTCTTCTCTTCCTTTGCTTTAGGTTGAGACGAGCTGGAGGAAGTGGCATAAAGACGAGCGAGATGGTGGTCATAAATGGATGTGTCTGTTGCTTCCGCTTGATTGTATTTATGAATAACTACTTGCTTTCGTTTTGGACTATTAATGCTTCCGTTGAATTTGGATTATTTATGTTCCCGTTGACACTATGGTTTATGTTAAACGTTTTGGATGATGTTGAAACATGAATAAATTGGATCAATTTGATAAATGTTGGCTTATACGTGTGTAGGATTTGTCTATGTATCATAATTGGTTAAATGTTGTCAATAGCTAAGTAGCGCCCGTTGAGTTTTAAATTTTGAATTGATTTTTTTTTAAAAAAAAAAAAAAAAAATCTGATTTTTTCAAATTAATTCAATAAATTCTTTAAAATAAAACGGGGCGTTACAGTACTGGATTCCACATCATCTCTAATTACTCTACCATCACTGAGGTATGTTCGAGATATAAGTTCTCCCAGGTGAGAGGCCCACGGTGAGCGGGCCGAGGCCTTCCAAGATCCACCTGGTATCCGGTTGGGGCTTCGGTCTCAGTGTCTGGAAGGTGTGCACAGGAGCGGCCGAGGTCCGAGCAAGGGTCTTTTTGACCAAAGTTGAAGTCTAAGAAAAGTTTACAGTACAGTACAACTTATTTATTTTATGTTGCTTTTAAGTTTACGTTTACAGTTAAGATTATTACAGTTCTAGTTTTTTCCACGAGCATGCAGATGTGCTCACACTCCAAGTTTTTCTATTTCAGGTGACGGAGTCCAGCGTGCCGGGTGAGCACACATGGCAAGTGTGGTCATGGGCAAGGACATTGTATTACGCATTTTTATTCATGAGCATGTATTATGTTGTATGCGTGTATTATGTATTATTCAGCTAAGCTTCCACTAAACTAGACAGTGCGAGACAGTAAAACATGCGTGTGTGATTCCAATTTAAATAGTGAATTAATTGGTGGCATGTTTAATGAGTAAGATAAGAAAGTTTTTGTAGCATCCCGCAGCTAAGGAAGTATTTTCGAAAACCAAGCTCGCACGACCTTTCGAAAATAATAGCGAAAATTTAACTCTGATTTTCAGTATTCAAATCTAAGTATGGTGGGGTGTTACAGCCTCATTGGAGGTACGAGAATCTAAAAAACATAAGAAAGAAAAAGAAAAAAATAGGTTTTTTATAGAAAGACGTTTAAGGAGTAAGAATTTGCAGTTTGCGGTTTTGCGAGGAAGAAGTACAGAGAAAAACAAAATTACGCATGCAAATTTAAAAAGTGAAAGATTAAGAGGACGTACTCATCGACATCGGTAATTCAGTGTTGATTACTTCAGAAAGTTGCAAGAAGGGTGGTCAACGGTGGAGCACGGCTGAAAACTTCTGTTTTATTTGTAGAAATCTGGGAAAAGCACAAATAATAACAAGGGAATTTTCGCAAAGGTGAAAACCTGAAAAATTTAGCAAAGAGTCATATTTACAGGTTGAAGAATCTCGAAGGTCGATCGACCCTGGCAGTTGGATCATGGCCCAAATCAAAAGTCAGAATCAGAAAAGATATTTGAAGGGACGGTTCGAGCAGAATCATTGTATCATGGCTAAAATCAATGTTCAAGATAAATAAAAAGGCAATCTCAAGTGACAAGTCGAGTATATCTGTTGGATTGTGCTCAAAATCAATGGTCAAGATTGAAGTGGAGTAAGCTGAAAAGACATCATGTTCCCAACTATCAGATGGAAAGTAGATCGACGGGTCACCATTAAGGCAACACTTAATGGGTACATTGCACGAGGACAACACGGATCACAAGGCATTTATATCGACAGGACATATGGACTAATGGATCAAACAAAGGGCAGAGCTTTGTATTCAAATATTTGAATTTAAGACAACAGAGGGAGGTAAGAAACATTGCTTTAGAATTGAAAGAAGTTCAAGCATCCTGGTCGAATGATGAAAGTTGCAACTCACCAAACAGAAGCATAAACAAAATTCTACTCTTAGATCGAGTTATATTAACTCGACCAGAGTGGGGGGACCAGATGATATGGGATACCACACCGAGTTGAATAGACCCGATATACCAGCTAGTTGGGTTAGGCAAACCAGTTGGTCGAATGAATTCACTAGGCCGACCGGTCGAACGAAACAACAAAAATGTGTCCTCAGGTCGATGAGGACTTTACATGTTCAAAGGAGCACTGATAGGTCGATCTAGGGCCTCGGATTGCCTGGTTGAAACTCCACCTGAAGGCAAGACTAATCGATGGATCGACTAGTGGAGCAGAGCATACGTACTTAACACAAGCAACACTCTATCTTGAGGTGAATCAGTCCAGTCGCATGATTAGACGGTCTAACAAAGCAGACAAATGGATGAGTTATTAATATAAGAACCATATGTGTATAGGGCCACGTGACCTAACAAAATTAGGCAATTCAAGAAATACGGACGGGCAGTTCAGATAATCTTGGAAAATAAAATGGGCAGTCTTGGGCAACAAGGTAACACACCTCTATATATAGTGGTGAGGTATGTCCATTGCAACATTGCATTCTCTACATACTTACAGGGCTTTACATATATGGTTTATCGTCTTCTTCATCTGTGAACTAGCTTGATCATCGGAGTGGTAACGCCGGAAACCCCTCCCGACCCATTTAGCTAGTATATGAACAAATGAGAGAGTAGATCCAGTCGCGTAAGCCTACTAGAGGTCAATTACACACCACACATTATATAGTGTGTTGTCTAGTCTGTTATGTATGAGATTTCTACACAAGAATCATTATGATGCCAACCATCCGAGTCCGTACAATTTTGGACATCGATTTCACTTTTGGTGACGATCAACGGGTCCTCCGAAAGAAAATGAGAGAGGGAGAGAGTTGTGAGGTAAAAAAACATCTTTTACTAACACCTCTTGAAATTAGAGCCAAGGAACTTTGACGGTCTCTTGCCTAGGATGGAAGCAGCTACCATGGGAATGAATGGATTATTAGCTGGTGTAGCGGTCGGTTGAGCACTTGAAGAAGATGTTTGGCTTCTTTTAGTTTTCATCATATGAACTCAAAAATATTTCTTCTTAAAGTTGTAGTTTGTGTGGTTTGTGAATATGAAGAAGATGTCTTAAGGATAATGAAGAAAAACAAAAATAAAATCAATGTCGAGGTAAGCACTCACGTTATCCTTAAGATGAAATTACCCCATAAAATACCTATGGTTAATGACAAACGCCTCCAATGTACAATGAAGTTTGACTTGGATAGTAGTATTTGAAACATATAACCCTTCGGTATACAATGCTATTGTTTGGAACTCTCAAGACATAACAATAAAAAAAATCAAAGAGCACTATATACTATTTGATCTTTAAAAAGTAATGCAAGCAATTCAGGATAAATTGATACCGACTCAGTTCTCTACTGCTTCTGCTTTTAGAGCTATGAATCAGACTAATGATGTGAGGGTCATCCAGTAGCACAGCTGAGACAGCGAAGGGCTCTCTGCCACCGATAGAGATTTTTCGAATGCGAAACACTTTATACTATTTGATCTTTGAAAAGTAATGCAAGAGCTCTTAATTTTCAAGGTATGAATGATTTCATGTATGTGAGTACTTACAGATATAGAAAAATACCTTTAAGAGATTTAAGTGTCAAAAGACACCTTTTGGGACGTACACAAACGAGAAAGGACGCATCTAAGGACCAAAATACGCCTTATGGTCACCAAGGGTCACGACCCTCTGTTGGTTGTGGCCAGCTGCGCGTCCATGCACCGCAAGCTCATACGAGCTCATCCGGACTCTTCCATTTTTTCCTACTCATCCCCAACGAACCCTTCTAGAGTTATAGCATTTAAGTTGCATGATCAGGTCTCATTTGGATTATCTCTATTCGTCTAAGACAGATTAATGTTTTTGCTAATTCAATAATTTGAGTTACTTAAACTCAATTGTTTCAACCTTACATTCCCCACATATACAACTTAGAATTCATTTCTCATTCACCTTAATGGTTTTGAGAATTTTCTAAATCTTTCACTAACGGAAAATAGAACTGTAAATCTGTACAAAACCAAATTTCTTACACATGGCAAAGTAACTTGTAGACGCATTCAATCTTCTGTATTACATAATGTGTGCCTCAATTCGGGATGCAGTCTATTGAAGGGCTTACTTACACTACACTCAACACGCTAGATTCTAATTGAGAGAGAGAGAGAGAGAGAGTTGCAAGTCCTCTTAGTATATTTTTTTCTTTCCAAATGATAGATAAACTCTATTAAAAAGCCAAACTGAAATAGTACAATATGGGGGAAAACCCTACAAATCAGAAGATGAACATGGAGAATCGTACACTTGGTGCGATCTAGAGAACAAACAAGAAAAGAAAGGCTGCTAGTAAGCAGAGACCTCCCTTAACCAACCTACCCCTAAACAACACAACCACAACAATACACATACCCCAACAAGCCAACATCCAACTTAAAGCAACAGAAACAAAGGAAAAAACATGGCAGAAAGCACACCTACAAGGATAAATAAACCAGTAGCAAATACCAACCCAAACACCTACTACAAAATCTGGGCCAAGTTACACCGCCTCAAAGCCTAGAGCCCTCGGTCTAGATCAATTGATGCCTCACCCCTGGAATTTGTTGAAATCTTCCCAATCAAACATTGCTTGCTAAACCACTAGAGGTTCTGACATCCAAATCTTCTCAAAGACCCACAATTGCGGGAGTTGTATCCTTCTCTCTGCACATTTAGACTTAGGGAGATAACTGATCCACCATCGCCATGTTTTGAAGCTCCCTTGCTGGTTGTGGTCAAAATCCCAAGAAATCAGGGACATCTTCCAAACTCTCTAAGCTCTGTTGCATTTAAATAATATATGCTCTGCACTCTGCTGCATTTAACTAATATATACTTTGCAGTTTCCTTCTCATCACCACATCCCCAGGATCTGACATCCACCTGAACACCTCCCTTCACAACATTGCAGCTGACAGGAAGAATCCCAGAAAAGCATTTCCATATAAAATGTTTTATCTTTCCTTTAGCCCTAATCCGCCAACACCTCAACCTTGCCCTTTTGTTCATCTTCACTGCTCTACTACATTCAGGTTTTGCCAATGCATGGCTCTTCTCAATAATCATCTTAGAATAAGAATACTACTGAAAATCTCCCTTTGGTGTCAAAGGTCCACAAAAATTTGTCTTGAGATTCAGGATCTACTGAGTTGATTTTCAGTATTCTTTTACAATCCGCCTCTCCAATAAACAGCTTCAGTGCTTCCTCATTCCATTGCCTATTTCCTTCTGCAATCAAGTCTTTCACCCGTATACCCCTCCCACCAATCCTATCCTTCACAGTAAGTTCACCAATCCCAGCCCAATTATGATCAAGGATTTTAGATGATAGCCCATTTCTGACCTCCACCTTGATACCACTTTTAAGTTGAGGTAGCACATTCATCCAACAATTCCATAGCCAAGAAGCATTGGGTTTTCAAGAACAATCAAGTAGATCAGATGATGAAAAGTATCTGCTCTTCAGCACTTTACTAACTAGAAGGTCAGGCATAGTGAGAGTTCTCCATAGTTGCTTTATCATCAGTGCATGATTGAAGATCCTCACATCCTTAAACCCCAGCCCTCCTAGTTCCCTTGGGAGAGTTATGTCATTCCTGGCTTTCCAATGCCATCCTTTCCTTTGATCATCCCCTTTGCTCCACCAGAAATTGGCAAGAGTTGGGCTATCCCTTTACAGATGCTTTCAGGAAGTTTGAAGCAGGACATCACAAACATAGGGAGAGCATTTAGTACAACCTTTATCAACACCTCTTTTTCAGCTGTTAAAAGGAATTTGTTCTTCCACCTATTTATCCTGTTCTGCACAGCCTCAAGCACAAAATTAAATGTTTCTTTTTTATTATTTACTAATTCTCAAGGGCAACCCTAAATATCTAGTTGATTTCTAAATAGAAATCCCCTCAACAACTTACAGACACTCACTTGAACAGATGTAGGCGTATATATACTGTAAAAAATAGAAGATTTCAACAAATTCACAGACTGCCTTATTAAAGACTTATAAGACTCCAAAATATGCAACAAAACCCTAGCTTGACTCTCATCAGCTTTACAACATAGCAATGAGTCATCTGCAAATAACAAATGAGTCAGAACAGGACCCCCTCTAGCTAAACTCACCCCTCTGTATCTACCCAACCCAACCTCACATTTGATAGAAGCTGAGAGAGTCTCAGAGACTAATAAGAAAATGTAAGGAGACAAAGGATCTCCTTGTCTCAGTCCTCTAGAAGGTTTAACCAACCCACACACTTTTCTATTTAAATTAAAAGAAAAAATAGGGGAAGAAATGCACACCAAAACCCATGTCACAAATCTAGGATGAAACCCCATTTTCAACATGATATACTTAACACACCCCCGTTCCACCCTGTCATATGCTTTCTCCATATCTACTTTCACAGCCATGAAAGAATGAGCCCTTGACCCGTCTATTCAAAAAATGGAAGGCTTCATGAGCTATTACTACATTATCAAGCAATTGTCTATCTGGGGCAAAGGCAGACTGTAACTCACCGACACAAGCATCAAGGCACACTTTCACTCTTTGGGAAAGAATTTTTGAAATGATCTTATAAATCACACTGGACAGACTGATATGGCAAAATTGACTCAAAGTTTCAGGTTTCAAACATTTAGGAATCAGTGTTATCAGAGTATGGTTCCAAGATTTAAGCAAAATGTTTGAGTCAGAGAAACTAAAAACAGCAACACAAAGATCAGTTTTAACCAAATCCCCAACGTCCAATACCACCTTCTGCCTGCAGTCGGAGTTCCAACATACAGACCATAATCTGACCTACTCAGACCAGTCATCGTCAGTCATCCCGCAACCAGCCTACGCTGTCGCAGTCAAGGCCACCGCCTTCAAGAGCTCCGATTTGTTCTTCTCGATACCCGCCGGAAAAACAGGTTGCCGGAAAATTCATAGGTTCTGGATATGATGGACGCCGTCGGGTTCGCGACAGAACAAAGAGTCTATAGGTGTAATGCCCCACTTCGATTTAACGAAGATCCATGGCTTTTTAAAAAAATCAATTTAATTTTGCAATTCGAACTTTTGTGGCGTTACTCGTTTATTTCAAAGTCAATATCATATATAACAGTCAAAGCTATGACATTCAAACATAAATCAACACCCCATCAAGGGTTTCATCCAAAGTCAACAAACACCCAAACTGGGTTTCCAAATCCCAAAGTAAAGACATCATAATGTCCAATGGAGAATCTCCTCAAAGGTGTTTCAAGCATCATAAATATCCGGAGTTCGAAAACATCCAAAGTCATAAATAAATTTCAAGTGAAGCGGAAGCAGAACAAACAATGGTCTAGTTATCTAGACCAACCACCACTCGTCTCGCCTCGCTGTGCCCGTAAACTGTTTATCCTGCGTCTAAGACGAAAAAGTGGGGATGAGCACGTATGGAATCCGTGGTGCTCATCACTATGCAAATAAACAATGATTAATATAAAACAGGTATGGTCGCAGCATGTATACAAATAAATTAACTATCCCATCTTCTATCCCAGAGTCAAGCCTCATGATCAATAGACTACTACTGATACACGTATCGAATGCCAAGGCCCTTGCCTTTGTCTTACAACGATGACCAGCCAGTAGGAGTATCCCCTCCCCCGACGGCAAAGGCCCCTGGCTTAGTCTTACAACGGGGTTCGCATCACCGGTCGAGGGCCCTGCCCTGGTCTTACAGTCACAAAAAGGAGATTACCCCAACGGGTCCATTCTATAGGTACGGGGATAATCGTTCATCGGCCAGCATAGGTCACATTGAAGGAAACATGGTTCACATGCATACATTGATCATACCATAGATATAGCATCAATTTACTGCATAGCAATTTAAATAAAACCCATCTGGAATCAACGGAATAGATAGCACACAAAAGCTGGTAGACTGAGAGCACGGCTCGTCAAACACCTACATTCATCAAGATTAGTCCTATCAACAACTATTCTGACACTTGAAGCCATTCACAACACATTCACATAGCCGAACATTATCGACTAAGTGATTCGTGGGTCCTTTAGTGGAGTTTGAAAACTTTAGAGTAAACCACCAGACTCGAAAAACCAATTAAATTCATTTAATACATACTCCATATGTAAAACAAGTTAACGGTCAAAGGAGAGTCAAACGGGTCGGGAAAAAGCTAAAACGGGACTCGGTTAGGTGCTGTCGGGGCTGTCGGAGCGCTGGCACGGGCCTAGGCACGGGCAGGTGGCCCTGGCAGGCCCTAGATAGCTGACCGGTTGGTTATATCATCCTAACCTTTTTAAAATCGAGTCGACTGATTCCAGTGAACTTTTACACAAGCATAAGGGTTCAAAAAGACACTATACCACATAAGGGTGACCCTAAGAAATCACTAAGGCAAAATATGAAAATCCTAGTTAACCAGGCGATACTTCGAATTTTTCAACGAAATTTTGACACAAGTAGTAATACCCAGAAAACACCAACATATCAAAAATTCAACCCATTTAAAGCAATATACGATTTCATACAAATTTTTGAAGAATCAGCCTAGAATTTTAAATCGACACTTCATATAGATACACTTCAAATTTTTCTTTGACATTCACACCTCAGAATCATTATCAACAGAGGAATAACATATTTATAAATAACATAAAATGCACGAGTATTCGATTTTTAATGAATTTTCAAAGATTCAACAACAAGACACACTTTAAAAATTCATAACTCAAAAACCACAATTCGAAATGACACAAGGCTTGAACTAACAGATCAAGGACACTTCAAATTACCTATAACTCTAGGATTTCTACGGAAATCAACCATGTCCTTTAGTTTCAATAATAAACCGAAGAGACGATTACAAATCAACATAATTATGCAAACACATAAATCTCAAACCACATTTAAACATCAAAACATCACCATATACACATATACTCATCAAAATATAAGTCTAGAGAAGCCACCCATTACCGTTCTCGGGGTCCTTGTACTAAAAAGCACAAGGGTAAGGTCCGGGGCACGGTTGCGCGCGTGGGGGAGCGGCTCGGTGGCTAGGCTTGGCTCGCCGGGGTTGGGTTCTCTGAGGATGACTCCTAACTGGTCAAAATCTTCACGAATATGACCTGGGGAGTCATGGAAGGCTTTCGGTTGCTCAGGGACTCCGAGGGGCTCGCGGTCTTGTGGCTGTCGGTGCACGCAAGTGCGGTGGCGCGGCAGCCCGAGGAGGCGGCGCTCGAGTGCTTTGGGAGGAGAAGGGTGGCAGTTAGAGGAAGAGAGAGTAAGGTTTGTGTCTTGGGGAGGAAGAGAACACATATATATAAGGCTAGGGCATAATAAGCTTGCCAACCAAAAAAGGAAGGCGGGTCGGCGGGCCCGGGGTGTGGTATCGGGCTCGGGCGGGGTTCGCGTGGCGCTCGGGCCGGTTTTCCTTGGGGTTCGACGTAGCAAATTAAAAGGCCCGGTTTTTTATTTTAAAATCTCGATTCGAACGTATGACGTTCGAAAAAATTAAAATAATTCAACCGGCAACATATATCACTTAGGCAATTAGTTCAAATAATAACGATAATGCCAATAAAATAATATCCGAAAAAATCCAATAACTAAACGGATTAGATTCAGTTTATGTGATTAAACTGAAATCGCCGAAAGATGAACATTATAAAAATAAACGATCGAGTACTTAAATATATAATTTAAGTACCCAATACTGGCGACATCACAACCAATAATAATAGACATAAATCAATAAATAAAATTCGATAAATAGAATAATCCGATAAATTATATAAATCGAATGGAGCGCTACAATAGGGGTCCCCAAAATTCAGTGGAGCATGGTGAATTGCCAAAAATTTGAAGAAGAAGATCGAATTTTGACCTAAATTTTATAGATCTAAAAACTTTGACCCGAGCAATTGAACGTCTTACTGGTCGAATTTTCGCCGAAAATTTTAGTAACTGAACAAGGACAAGAAGAGCTTCAAAATAATGTAAAAAAAAATTCGATCGGAGGTGGTCGGCCGGCGGTAGGCGACCGGAGAATGGCGACGGCCGAGGGGATGGATGAAGACGAAATAGTGTTAGGAATTGCAGTGGCTCATGTTTGAAAATTTAATAAATTTTATGGACTATTTTACAATTTTAAGAGTTTTAATTAATTGCATAAAAGGATTGGGGCTGATGTGGATTGATATGCCGAAAAATGTGCACATTTTACATACTTAATAGTGTATTTTTATACGCTTACTTTATTTGCACTTTTATGTTTTTCGATTTATTTATTATTTAGATGGATCTATATGCTTTAATTATTTTATATTTATTTTCAGCATATTGGAGTACATTTGTGAATGCCAAAATATTGAGCTCGAACAAT